ATATCAGCTGTGCTTGCTATTGCAAATATTTAGACAAACTAAGTTCATCAGCAAATCAATTAAATGGGTGGGGGGATAGGCATAGAAAGCAAACAGGGATACCAGAGACAATGGGAGGAGGGTTGGACAGGGCAGAGGGTTAGGGAAAGGGAATCAAGGATGGAAAAAAAAAACTCAAAATATACAAGACATAAGAAATGAAAAATTGTTTGTTGATAACACGTATGTTGATATGCTTGATTGAGCCAACAGACAGTGTATTTTGGATGAAAAATTCATTTTGTATACTGTAATGATGTATAGCATATTAATGTTAAAAAAAGAAAAACCAATTAAAAAAAAAGAAGCTTCTCTTGGGGTTTCATCTGTGCCTCTCGGTATTTCGGGTAGCCTGTTCTTCCAGTACGCAGTACGAGAGTATGAGGCAAGGACCACCACGTTGTCCCTCAGGCCCTGAGGCCCCAGCTTACTTGCCTTCTCTCCACCTTTTAGAGTCTTCTTACAATTAAACATATGTCTCGTGCCCACAGTCCTTAGTTGTACTTACTGAGAAGAAGAGGGGAAAGTGTGTTAGTCCGTTTTCCTGGAAATGAAGTCCCCTGTCCTGTTTTTATATAAGGCCATGGTACTAGCTAGTAAGTGGGGTTTTTGTTTTGTATTTGCTCATTTTGCTATAGGGCACATGCACGAGCCAGAGAGAGACAGAGAAGACAAAGAGAGAAAGGGAAAGTGAGAAATCCCCCCTCCCCCGCCCGCCGCCCCCAGGGGGGATGGTCACTGCAATCCCTCCTCCATTCTCCTCTCAGGATTTTGGGCAGGCACACACACACGCTTAGCATATTTTACAGGCCACCAGGTCTAGGACTCAAACTATGCACTTGGCTATGTGGGACCAAGCCTCCTTAACCACTATACCACCTGGCCAACCTCGTCAGTCTGTTTCAGACAGAGTCTCTCCATATGAAAGTTCTCCTGCCTCAGCCTCCCAGCTGGGACCACAGGTGTGTGCCCCCATGTAGAGCCTTTAGATCGGACTGGTGCTCAAACCTGGGCCTGCCATGTAGTCCCAGCCTGCAGAACACGGTGTCTCAGCAGGATGCACCCCCATGGCGTGGTCTGCTGAGAAACTAAATTTCTTACCTTACGTTTGACAGAGCAAATTCAAATGGACTACAAGACTCTATTGCTTTCCTTAAAGGACAAACTTCAAACTACTGATGCGCGGATTGGCTCAGAGGATGGTAGAGCTAGGAAACCAGTTTCAGAGCTTCTCACAAATGACAAATGTTTTAGCACTGGCTTCTCTTCCCAGCTATGCCCAAGAATGGGAATAGCTATATTGTTAAGAAAGGGCTAGGGGACCAGCAGTTAGCGTAATGGCTATGTCGCTGGACTCCCATGTAGTCGACTGCGGTTCGCGTCCCGGACCCG